ATGAGCTAAACAGCAGTTCAATTTTTGCATCCTTGCTGTAGCTACAAAAGAGTATTTATGTGTTGCTCTGGTAAGTTTTTGCAGTGCTTTCATGTGTTAAGTCTTTTTGAAACTGTTGTTTGGGGAACTGTAGATGAGTTTCCTGTACTATGTGTTGATTGTCCTCACCATTCCCCTGCCCAGACTTACTAAAGTATATTGGTAAAGATTTTTCTTCCCTGCTCACAGTTATTTGCCGCTTTGAGGGCAAGGACAGCCATTCTTAGATTTGTTTTTGTGAGCTTTACTAGTTGCTTTTGGGAAGGTGCAGGGTGAAGAAGTGAGATGATGAGAGGAGAGAAAAGAGCACCTGTTGCCAAGTTAAAAATTACTTTAGCAATACCCTGATAGTAAACTAATTTTATGTGTTTGACATTAATACTTCAAGATTTCTGATGGAGTGTTAATATTAATTTTAGGAGCTGCAGGACACTGTGGAGAAGGAACAGAAAGAAGCACAGTACTTTCTGACAGTGCTTCCTTGTCATTTCAGTGCATGGGAAAGCTGGTATGTGGTACATAAGTATGGAGGGCTTGGGCTGCTACTGGCATTGTCCAGCTGCAGAATGGTATTCATTTTCCTGTATATTAACTTTGAAAATTTGGGAGTTGAGGTTGTTATATGTATTGACTCTAGAGTTTGCTCTTGACTGTTCACTTTCAAGCTTGTGCTAGAACCCTAAAAAGTCCCTTAGGTAAAACATATAAAACACCAGTCATCTTCCCCAGCAAGAAGGACACTGGGTTTGGGGGTGTTGCATTGAGCAACACATGAAATCTCAGCTATCATGTCAACAGATGGGGCTCTACTGTGCCCTTCAGTGACTGTAGGGCCCTGTCAAACAGAGCTCTCTTCTTGTGGGAAGGGTAGTTTGAAGTAGAGGATCAGTTATTTGTGTCAGATCGGATTGGTACTGTTTTAAGTTATTTTTGTTGCACATCTCAGCCCAGTAATGTCCTTGTATTCAGATGGATTAGGCTCAATGCATCCTCTTTGCCATCCTCTTACCAGTGACTAGGAGAGCAGCTGGGAGCGTGCCTGGCGAATAATGTGGTGTTTGAGGCTCAAAGCTGAGGGCTTCGAGGAAAAGTAATTTTATGAAAATAATTCTCTAATAATCACTCAAAGCAGGACGTTCCTCAGCTTTTGGGAGCTTATCTAAGGAACAGAAATTCATATATAAACAACCCTAGCCTGCTGAATGGTGTTGGATTCCTTTGCTTTATAACCTTAATGGGTGAGTCAGGCTTCCCAGGATTTGAAATTGTTTCAAAGAGCTGTGAAGTGTTTGAGATCTGCCTGTTAGGGTGCAGCTCTGTGCTGTGGTTCATCTGATGAAAAGAGAGGCCTCATGTTCTGTGTGAAATGTAATGGTACATTGAATTCCAAACTGCTCTGTGCTGTGTTTGGACTGCTTCTAATTCATAGAATCATTGAATCATAGAATAGTTAGGTTTGGAAAGGACCTTAAGATCATCTTATTTCCAACCCCCCCTGCCATGTGCAGGAATAGCAGCCTCTCTAGCAGAGAAATAAAGAGCTATCCTGAAGTCAGCTGAAGAATGCAGCTTACAATGGAGTAGGCGCACTTTATTAATTCTTTTTCTTTCAGAAGAGATTGTGAATTGTCTTCATTCACACAGATGGGCTGGAACTTAGGCCTGTGAGTGAGCAGACTCGATACTGTAATGGTATTCTCCTTATACTTATCTGCAATTTATACACTTAATATTCATTCATTTTGCAGTGATCATGGGGAAACCCAGGAACCTGCTGAAAAGCAAGAAGGGAAAGAAACAAAACCCACAAAGGTATCTGAAAAACCATTGCCTAGGAAAATGCTCCCAGTAACACCAAAAGATCTTGAAGAAGTTCCTGCGTAAGTATGCGTGGCTTTTCTTACCACTGTCATGCCAGTCTAGTTCAGGGGCAGGTCTGGGAGAGTGATCTTGCAGATCTGAGACTGACAGAGCCGCTTTAACGTTGTAGATGTTCCACAGGGTGGAACATCATGATGACAGCTCTAGATAGCTTATGTGCAACACTGCAAAACCTGGAAATGAAAGTATTGGAGGTGATTATGTTTATTTCTAATGTGTATGTTGGTAAGATGAGAAATCATCGCTTAAACCCCAAGCCTCTCATTCTCTAAAGTCACTTTGAGTTTATGAAATATCTTAGCTCCTGTAAGTATAGATGGGTTCTCCTTGTGTTCTGCGTAGAAGCATAAAAAGAGCCATCATGTCATAAGAGGAAAGGTATGGTTATGCTTAAAAGGAAAACTAATAATAGATGCTGGTTTTATTCAACCTAACAGTTGGTTTCTGACAGCTTTCAGGTCTTGACTTACCAACCTTCTCTGGGACAGAAAATAAATCAGATTTGTTAAAAGCAGCAAAGACCACCCACTGAAAGATCTGAGATTTTTGAAATGGAAAGCTGTGGGTTTTTTCCTCTACCATCAGTACCTGATTAATAGATGTTCTTGCCTGCAGTTTGTCATGTAGTGATAACTTTTCTTAAATGGCATTTTTTGGACAAGGACAAATATTTCTGGCAAAATGAGGGAGTTCTCTTGATGCCTGAAGCAAAATCGTTATCCTAAAATCCCAGACTGGTTTAGGTTGGAAGGACCTTAAAGCTCACCCAGTTCCAACCCCTTGCCACAGGCAGGGACACCTTCCACTACAGCAGCTTGCTCCAAGCCCTGTCAAACCTGGCTTTGGACACTGCAAGGGATGGGGCAGCCATAGCTTCTCTGGGCACCCTCTGCCAGTGCCTCCTATGTTGTCACTTCTTGATGTTCACTTTGTTGTGCAGTGGAGGATCAAGCAAGTGCTCGACAGAGCGTAATTGGTGAGGATCCATCGGTATTGCTGTAAATAGGTCTTCAGTCATCTTCCTCAAATGTTCCTCCATTGACTTCCTCCATTTCTGTTCCTATATGTCCCAAAATGCATGGGAGCCAAGCACTAATTGTCCTTTGAGTGCGTTTTGTAAGTGATGGAGAAAGCAAAGCACTTGAGCAGTCGTGATGCAGGCCTTAAAATCTGAGGAAGAATGAGAATGCACACACAGAGGAATGGGACAATTCATGTCTTTAGCTGTTTTTCCTCTCATTCTTGGTTTTGATGTTCTCATTTAGCAGAGGAATCTCACTGAAATAAAAAGCAAGTTGAGCATGTCTTAAGCCCTTTGTATTCCAGGTGTTTATTTAGAGAGCAGTTTATCATTACACAAAAGCAAGGTTTTGAAACACGCTTCAGTTCTTTCTTTTTGTGGTTCAGGTTAGCAGCCAACTGTGTAAATGTACTATCTCACTGCAGCTATAGAGTGTCAAGGTAGTGGGTGGGAACCCAAAGCAGAAGTACCTGCAGGTCATAGATGGTATAGGTGAGCAGGGAATCCTCTAGGAAACGTATGTTTGTTGTGGTGAGGCAGATAGCAGAAGGCTGTAGTGTATGGGAGGAATGATGTTTTAAGATGTGAACTCGCATCTCTTGGTCCTTAGGTTTATCCTATTTCATATCCTCCTTCCACACCACCAGAAGTCCACACCCTTCCCTGAGGGAAATCTTTGCTGACGTTCCCTGCCACTAGTGCTAGCGCAGTGGCACCAGGATCAGTTTTGTGCAGTGCCTCATCTTGTTTTTCAGATGTTTAAATCTGAATTAGTGTGGCTGGTTTTCAGAAGGGCTCTGCCTTGTAGTGTGGGAGGGAGCAGAGGATTCCCCTGTCCCTGAGTTGCAGACCAGACAGTTTGGGAGTCCACCAGGTGGCGCTGCCTGTCCTCTACACTGCAGTCATCGTCCCTGTCAAGAAGGACACTGGGTTTGGGGGTGTTGCATTCAGCAACACATGAAATCACAGCCATCATGTCAACAGATGGGGCTCTACTGTGCCCTTCAGTGACTGTAGGGCCCTGTCAAACAGAGCTCTCTTCTTGTGGGAAGGGTAGTTTGAAGTAGAGGATCAGTTATTTGTGTCAGATCGGATTGGTACTGTTTTAAGTTATTTTTGTTGCACATCTCAGCCCAGTAATGTCCTTGTATTCAGATGGATTAGGCTCAATGCATCCTCTTTGCCATCCTCTTACCAGTGACTAGGAGAGCAGCTGGGAGCGTGCCTGGCGAATAATGTGGTGTTTGAGGCTCAAAGCTGAGGGCTTCGAGGAAAAGTAATTTTATGAAAATAATTCTCTAATAATCACTCAAAGCAGGACGTTCCTCAGCTTTTGGGAGCTTATCTAAGGAACAGAAATTCATATATAAACAACCCTAGCCTGCTGAATGGTGTTGGATTCCTTTGCTTTATAACCTTAATGGGTGAGTCAGGCTTCCCAGGATTTGAAATTGTTTCAAAGAGCTGTGAAGTGTTTGAGATCTGCCTGTTAGGGTGCAGCTCTGTGCTGTGGTTCATCTGATGAAAAGAGAGGCCTCATGTTCTGTGTGAAATGTAATGGTACATTGAATTCCAAACTGCTCTGTGCTGTGTTTGGACTGCTTCTAATTCATAGAATCATTGAATCATAGAATAGTTAGGTTTGGAAAGGACCTTAAGATCATCTTATTTCCAACCCCCCCTGCCATGTGCAGGAATAGCAGCCTCTCTAGCAGAGAAATAAAGAGCTATCCTGAAGTCAGCTGAAGAATGCAGCTTACAATGGAGTAGGCGCACTTTATTAATTCTTTTTCTTTCAGAAGAGATTGTGAATTGTCTTCATTCACACAGATGGGCTGGAACTTAGGCCTGTTTGTCTAATGTGAGTGAGCAGACTCGATACTGTAATGGTATTCTCCTTATACTTATCTGCAATTTATACACTTAATATTCATTCATTTTGCAGTGATCATGGGGAAACCCAGGAACCTGCTGAAAAGCAAGAAGGGAAAGAAACAAAACCCACAAAGGTATCTGAAAAACCATTGCCTAGGAAAATGCTCCCAGTAACACCAAAAGATCTTGAAGAAGTTCCTGCGTAAGTATGCGTGGCTTTTCTTACCACTGTCATGCCAGTCTAGTTCAGGGGCAGGTCTGGGAGAGTGATCTTGCAGATCTGAGACTGACAGAGCCGCTTTAACGTTGTAGATGTTCCACAGGGTGGAACATCATGATGACAGCTCTAGATAGCTTATGTGCAACACTGCAAAACCTGGAAATGAAAGTATTGGAGGTGATTATGTTTATTTCTAATGTGTATGTTGGTAAGATGAGAAATCATCGCTTAAACCCCAAGCCTCTCATTCTCTAAAGTCACTTTGAGTTTATGAAATATCTTAGCTCCTGTAAGTATAGATGGGTTCTCCTTGTGTTCTGCGTAGAAGCATAAAAAGAGCCATCATGTCATAAGAGGAAAGGTATGGTTATGCTTAAAAGGAAAACTAATAATAGATGCTGGTTTTATTCAACCTAACAGTTGGTTTCTGACAGCTTTCAGGTCTTGACTTACCAACCTGCTCTGGGACAGGAAAAGAAACCAGACTTTTTAAAAGAAAAAAAAGCCCTCCCATTATAACATCCCAGATTTTTGGAATAGAAAGCTGTGGGTTTTTTCCCCTACTGTGAGGATCTGATTATTAGAGGTCCTTGTGTCCTGGGTTCAGCTGTGGCATTCATTTTTCTCCTTTTTAGCAGCTGTTTTCTCACCCCTGGGGCAGTTGATTCCAAATGTACTGGGTGCCCCTCCAAGTGAATGTGAACTGTGGCCAGCACTCTGCTGCCAAAGGGATTGAGAAAAATGCCTTGTCAATATCAATTGTGACATCTCACTTAGCTGCCTTTGACTCCAGTTCATATAGTTCTTGCATGTCTGGTACAGTAGCACTCAATGGTGCTGTGACTTCATTCAGGCTACGATAGTCTACTGTTAGTCTCCCCTCTCTGTTAGACTTTTGCACTGGCCATATTGTGCTAAACTAGCCAGACAGCACCAACTTGCCCCATCCTGCACTGCTCCATTAAGGGGCATTTTGCAATCTGTCATGTAGGAATAACTTTTCCTAAATGGCATTTTTGGACAAGGACAAATATCCCTGCCAAAATGAGGGAATTCTCTTGATGACTAAATTGTTATCCTAAAATTACAGACGGTTTAGGTTGGAAGGGAACTTAAAGCTTATCCAGTCCCAACCCTGGCCACGGGCAGGGACCCCTTCCACTGGAGCAGCTTGCTCCAAGCCCCTGTGTCCAACCTGGCCTTGAACACTGCCAGGGATGGGGCAGCCACAGCTTCTCTGGGCACCCTGTGCCAGCGCCTCAGCACCCTCACAGCAAAGAGCTTCTACCTAAGAGCTCATCTCAGCCTCCCCTCTGGCAGGTTAAAGCCATTCCCCTTGGCCTGTCCCTATAGGGCCTTGTGCAAAGCCCCTCTCCAGTTTTCCTGCAGCCCCTTTAGGCACTGGAGCTGCTCTCAGGTCTCCCCTTCAGGAGCCTTCTCTTCTCCAGGCTGCCCCAGCCCAGCTCTCTCAGCCTGGCTCCAGAGCAGAGCTGCTCCAGCCCTCGCAGTATCTCCATGGTCTCCTCTGGGCTCACTGGTTCATTGTCACCGAGTCTGGATTCAGTGTGTTCCCTGATAGCACTTATTTCTGTAAGATTTTTTTATTTTTGGGTCTGAAAGTTGAACTAATGGAGCACAACTCTTGGTTACTTCTTAAAGGTGTGTGCTGCTGGTATATTTTACTCTGGTGATCATTTCTGGTACATGGTGGATTTAATCCTGTAGGTACTTCTCTCTGATAAAATTTTTGAAAGCTGATTCTGGACTACATGAATTTTTAGTCCCATGCTATGGCAGGAGTAGTTCCAGCCAAACATTCCAGCCAAATATTGTGTCTTCCACTTAAAACTACAGTCTTCCGTGTAACTTCTTGACTGTTTCATTATCCCTAAAAATGGAAGACTTTCCACTGCTGATCCCAGGTGGGGAGGGTAGGGACAGAGCCTAGATGGGTTCTCTTCTGTTTATTCTGGATTTACAGAAAGGTCACATCTTAAACTGTGCTTCTGGAGCTATAGAATTATTTTTACTCATATGGGAAAAGCATGTTTGTTCTGTGGAGGATGATTTACATCAATTTAAATAGTACTATTAATCTACCATTTTTTATCTGTTGCCTGGCAGTGTTGTAATGGAAGACTGGGAGAGTCCGCTAAACTTGCCATCTCACATACTATTTATTCAAATCTAACCAGCAAGCTTGTGACCCAAGTTTTCTCACACTTCATGTATTGTCTTAGAACAATGAGAATTAGGCTCGTATCCCACTTCTCTAGGTCAGCGCTGGATCCAGTGTCAGGTCTCTTTATACCTGCTGCATCTTTACACAGCTCTAGTCCTAGAGCTGCTTGGCTGTGCTAGCACAGGACTGTGCCTATGCTAAGCCTGTCTGAGGGACTTAGTAAAGCACAAATGCATCACATATGTGTCTAAATCCTATACCAGCTGGGTATCTTGGATTTTGCATCTGCCAAGAGTCACATTCCTCTCTCTTTTCCTCCCACAGCTGCTATAGATTGTAACTGAATAATCTAGGTGGTTTTCACCCTCTTAGTGCTGAATGTGAACAACAGTCTATCCCTAACATCATTAGGGCACAAAAAGGGGTATTGTCTGCAGTGGTTTCCTAATTTTGGAACTCTGCAGCAGGTATTTAGCAGGGGTCCATGCTGTGTTAAAGTGTGGATACAAGAGTCCCTTGATCAAACAGAATGCTTCAGCACAGTAAGAAACTTCGCAGATTATCTCACCCTTCAAATCTGTCACAGAAAGGCACTTTTTGGAGGAAGAGAAAGGAAGTTGCACAGTGGATGTCTCAGTTAACATTGAATTCAAGGCAAAAGAAAATGCTTGCTTTATTCCCTGTATAAAATTCTTACCACTTAAGATATTTTAGAATCTGTACATTCGTAATAACTCTCAAGTCTCAGAAGATGGTAAGTTGGGGGAATAGAAGTTTCTTTTAACCTAAGCACTTTTGAGGAAGCAGGGGCTAGCCATTAGGAGGAGGTTCATCTCTTTTGCAGTGACATATATGTGATATACTAATGTTTTTTTCTTTGAAGAACATAGCACTGTGCTTTAGTTTTCATACCTAGGGAGAAAAACGTTTTGAAAAGGGCTTCTGTGGATTAAAAGAAGAAATTGGGTCACTCTTTTAAAAAATAAAAAAGAATCTGATTTTTTTTTTGCCTTTGGTGTATTAATATAGATTTTGAAGTTATTTTAAATCTAATTTAAATGGGTGAATTTGTAACTTCTCAACTTTGTATTTTCATGTTGCTGTATGTACAAACGGAAATAAATACCAGCATTTATGTGTTTGCCAGCCATGGCTGGTCGAAACATGAGGGGGTTTTGTGACCCTTATGGTTATACACAGAAAAAAAATTGCAGTTTCTTTTGGCAGAATTTCATTTCAGATGAAGGCACCTACATGTAAAAGTCTGTAATACTGGTGTCCCTATGCTTACTGGGTGCCCCAGCACCCCCTCTTGTCCCTGAATGCCTTTGGAGAAACCAGAAGGCAGTTGGCTAAGCCTAACTCCTTGGTGCCATTGCAGATTCTGTAGCATGCGCTATCAGATCTTTAGTTAGTGAGTTGTCTCTAAACCCCAGCACATCTGCTGGCCACCGCCAAGCACCTTGGATTCCTGAGGGCCTCTCTTTGAGCTCTTGTTTCTTAGGGTCAGGTAACCAAATCCTGCTTTTCTGTTTCTGCTTCCCACACTCTTTGTCTTCTGATAGTGGGAGCATAGGAACTTAAATATAGGTATTTTATCCTCTGGCCTTAATCTTCATAACTCTGCACCCTCCCCTGTGACTTTATAAATAGGCTAAGGGATGCAGATAGAGCAATAAATAGCAGTTAATGTATACAGGCAAAGCCCTTCTGTGGTTGTTTATGCCAAGTGTGACTGAACTTCAGGAGTGGAAGTGCTGCTTTTGTTTGAACAAAAACTTTGCTGTTTGTGCAAAGTAGAATATTTTTATTAAAAAAATGGCTGCACCTCAAACTTTGGGTCTGGATTAATCGAAGTGTCAATACAGTTGAAAACTGATAGGAAATAACTTAGCAGCACTTCAGTCTGGAGTTAGAGCAAATGCTTTGAATTCAGGAGTTTTTACACTCCCCATGCAGGCCTGTGTCCCTGGCAGGAGCTGGCTATTCTTCAAATTGACAGCGAACACCTATTTCTAGTTGGCAATTGTAGAATGCCTGCCCACATTGTGGTTTGATATATTGAATTTCTCATTGATTAGCTACTTGTGCTTTTAATGCTTTGTATGTTTTCCAAATACGTTTTTCCATTCAGATTAAAATGAGGGAAGAAATTTCCTGTTCATTGATCTTTTCAGTCTTACTCTCCTACAGCTTTTGGCCACCTGATGTACCAACCTAAAGAACTCTTTTCTTAAAATTAATTGCAACACTTCCCTCAGTTCCACACATCAGCAAACTGGTACTGAACCAAACACCAACAGCCAAGTTTGGTGTGTTGCAGTGCCTGAAAAGCAATCAGGATAATTCAGGTTATAAGGGTGCCCTCTCTGTTACTGCAGTGGTTTCTGGGGTTTTATTTTGTATTTAGCTTACTGCTTGTTTATGTGGGTTTCAGCCTTTGTTTTTATGTAATGGCTCCTCAGTTCATAGCATGTTTCCTTTTTCTTGAATTCATGTCTTTACATTATAAATACTAAATAGCTTAACTTGCAAATATTCCGGTGTTCTAATGCTTCCACATCACTTTGTTTTTATCTTCTGTGCTTCCTGTGCCTCTAGGCTGTTATTGGCAAATCTTACTATTTTAGTGCCAGTTTTATGAACCGCTCTGAAAGTTCAGAGGAACTGTGTCTTGCATAGCTCAGTACACTGCACAATAAAATACAGAAAACAACACAAAACTGGCATTTCTTCAGAAAAATACAGGAATGGCTCTAGGATCACACACAGTATCTAGTGCGAATAACATTGCACTCTTAGGCAGAAACATTTAATTTCAGTTTTGGCTTGTACAGTGTTTTCTGCAATGCTGTTTGACTTTACTGCATTTGTATTTGAAGTGGTACAATGTAACAGCAACCTTTGTTCCATCTTGAAATGCGTCTTACAACGTAAGCACTGGGTTTTTTTTTTACTTAATTTAGCCTTCTAATGTTTTGTCTCTCTGGTTTAAGTTTTACCACGGCTTTTTACTTTCAAGATTATTAGACAGTCAAGGAAGTGAGCAAAATTAACTACTATGTTTATCCATTAACACAGAGCAGAAAAACTGAAGAAGAAATTGAATAAGGCCTTCAGTGAAGGCAGATGAAAGAGAAAAATAAACACAGAACTTTGATTTTTCTGGTTACTGATTTTTATTTTTTATTTGCAGGTATATGAAAGGCCGCATAACATGTGATCAGATCAATGCAGTTATTAAAAATCTAAACAAAGCAATGGTGACCAAATACAGGATCCGCAATCAGGCTCCACGTTCTATGAATGCAACAAACAGAAGCCTGCACTACAGATACGTAACAGAAGAAAAGGAGGATATAGAAGGTTTTTTTTTTTTTATCCCTTTGTTAGTACCACATTTGTAACATTTGGATATTGCAGCACAAGTATAAAGATATTGAACAAAATATTGAATTATTAATGACAGCACGTGCTTTTCATGTTATGGTATAACTCAGAGCATTTTATTCTCAGCAAACAGTCTATGCAGGCTGAGGTAAATGGTGGAATGCTCTAACTTCCTGGAGTGAAAATATTTAGGAAATCTGCTGTTGCTTACTCTCAGATGAAAAAAAAAAATAGTGAAAAAAATAAGTTTGTGGAGTTACAATGCTTCAGCAGTCTGGAGCTTGGGAAGTTCTGCTTCCGCCTCCATGTAATGGAAGGGGAACAGAAATGAGATTTGGTTCCAGATTAGATTCTAGGCCATAAGGAATATAAGTGTCTTATTACTGTACAGATTTGGGTAAGCAGTAAAAAATCCTTTTTATATTCTCAGTATAAAAAACCTTTTAAAATACTCAATATAAAAACCTTTTCTGGATAAAGTCATACAGTGTAGCAACAAGGGTTATGGTTTTGAGTGAAGAGTTTTCCCATGACCAACTTGGTTGCTTTTTATATGTTTTCACTAAATTATCACTTTCACAGTGTGTTGTAGCAAAATCTTTGGGTGCGCAAAGGTTTAGTGAGGAATTGCTACAAGTTCTGGTAGCTTCTGCTTTGATAACCAAGCTGTATAAACGGTGCTTTCAGCTTTTAAGCTAGAATGGACATGAACTGTTAAAAACTTGTTCTAAGGTTGGGAAATCTGGCTAATCAGTCATGCTGCAGAGGGTTTATAGAAAAGACAGGGCTGTCTGATATTCTCAAGAGGTTTTCTCCTCTTTAAAGTGTGGAAGGAACAACACCACACCAAAATGTCTTTCCCTTAACTTAAAAGCCAACTGTACTTACAGGTTAGCTTTTCAAAGATACATGGTACAATGAATCTCTAATATTAAAATATCCTATTTGACATTCTTTTTGAGAACAAGAATGTAATTATTCCTGGAGGGGTGTACTCCACATGCCGAGCTTGGTAATATCTTTAGAATGTCCTCATGTTCCTGAGTTCAGACATAAAACATGGAGCAAACTCTGCCTCACAGAAGGCGAATTCTTTATGTTGATGCTTGCCTCTTAATTTTTGCTCTGGACAGAATGCAAGAGCATTCTGCCCTAAGCATTCACTGGGTACTCAGGAGTCACAACAACCTGAGACATTTTCTTGCTTCTTTTTGAGTTGCTGCTCACTGAGATTCTCCCAGTGTTATGGTATGGTGATAATATACTGTGGGCCTGCTTGAGTGAGGCCAGAGGAGGCCATGGAGATGCTGCAAGGACTGGAGCAGCTCTGCTCTGGAGCCAGGCTGAGAGAGCTGGGCTGGGGCAGCCTGGAGAAGAGAAGGCTCCTGAAGGGGAGACCTGAGAGCAGCTGCAGTGCCTAAAGGGGCTGCAGGAAAGCTGGAGAGGGGCTTGGGACAAGGGCCTGTAGGGACAGGCCAAGGGGAGTGGCTTTAACCTGCCCGAGGGGAGACTGAGATGAGCTCTTAGGCAGAAGCTCTTTGCTGTGAGGGTGCTGAGGCGCTGGCACAGGGTGCCCAGAGAAGCTGTGGCTGCCCCATCCCTGGCAGTGTTCAAGGCCAGGTTGGACACAGGGGCTTGGAGCAAGCTGCTCTAATGGAAGGGGTCCCTGCCTGTGGCAGGGGTTGGAGCTGGATGAGCCTTAAGGTTTCTTCCAACACAGGCCACTCTGTGATTGTATGTACACCCTGACAGGAGCGTGCGTGGTTTAGGAGATGTTAGTAGATACAGATGATAACAGAGGGAGCTCATTGAATGGGGCCTGTGGCTGGTGCAGGATTTCCATTAACTTAATGAATGCTGGTAATTATTCTTTCTAGTGATAGTTTACACAGTAAGACAAAGCTCCTGAGACAGTGCGAGGCTGTCCTGCTGATGACTGTACTGTTGCTAAGTAGAGGTTGTGTAGTTATGTGTGCAATATTAAGTGTATCCTACAACAGTTATTTCTCTAGCAAAGCTGTTCTTTGTTTTCCAGATGTTTATTTTGTTGTGGAGGAAGATATCAGACTTTTCACCCATATGAAGCTGGATAAGCGCTTCCATCAGATCATCGTCATCCTGCGCCACTGCCAAAGACTGAAAGAAATTCGTACCTCTGGAATTGTCCGCTATGCCATCTGCTAACATGCTTCCCGTACTCTGCTTACCCCAGATGTAGATGGCAGCAGTGTTTTGAGACGCAGAGAGTTTTGTTGTATGCAGAAAGATTCCATGTATGGACATTACTATTTAGATCTCCTTATTTTCTGAAAGGCAATGTTTTCCCTAGTGTTTTTCAGACATCCTAAATCAGGACTGGCAATCTCAAATGGCCTCTAAGTATCTGATTTTTGTTTTGAAAACTTGAGAGGGAACTAATGTCTTTTGATAAATTACATGTACAAAGCAAAGATGTAATTGGCTCATCTGTGGTCACAGGCAGTTTTAATGACGTTTTCAGGTCAGCACTTGAAAGTTAATGTCCTCTACATGGTCGTGATGTTCCTTTTCTTGTTAATGAGTTAGAAACTGTGTCCAAAGCTCTGCAGCTACTCAAAGGAAGCATTTGATTCTGGTTTTTTTTTTCTTAAATCGTGCAAACCAGTTTCCAAATTTTCATTTCTTAATCCTTCTGATCCTAATTGTATGTTTTGGAGTATCTATCATTGGAACAGGAACATCTGATGCCATTTAAACATTAACAGGCAGTTCGGTGCTGGGTAGTTTCTATGAGCCATGCGGGTTTCGTACTTCATGAAGACAAAAAGGGCAGTTAGATTTTTCCCTCAGACTTAACCCTTGGACCAAAACTACAGAGCAGTGGGTATTTTTAAGAAAAAAAGTCAAAGTCCGCTTTGAGAATGGTGGTCAAAATTGTCAGATATTGTTATAGAAGGTTGGTTTTAAATACCTTGGAGTCCCAGAACAAACTTATTGTGATAAGTGCTAATTCTGCAAGTTGGTAAAAAGAAAACAAACAGAAATCTGTTGTTGTTTATGTCTGTGAGCCTGTATCTGTTTTAACCACATCATCTCATGTAAACTATCTGCTCTTATGGCCCATAAAGATGACTGTGTTTAAAAAAAAAAATTTGAAATTTATTAATAAAGGTGTACCCCAGTATGTGCAATGCAACCCTAGATTTCTGTGCTTTTGTTCTGAGAGGGGGTGTTGGTTTTGAGGTAGAGTTTTTTTGGTCTTCTGCTTTGGGTATTTGGATCCTACCTGAGGTGTCTACTCTGCATTGCATTGGAAGAAATTGAGAGAACCACACACTGGTTTGGATTGCAGAGAACCTTAGAATCATAGAACAGTTAGGGTTGGAAAGGATCTTAAGATCATCCAGTTCCAACCCCCCTGCCATGGGCAGGGACACCTCACACTAAACCATGTCACCCAAGGCTCTGTCCAACCTGGCCTTGAACACCACCAGGGATGAAGCATTCACAACCTCCCTGGGCAACCCATTCCAGTGCCTCACCACCCTTACTGTAAGGAACTTCCTCCTTAGATCCAATCTAAACTTCCCCTGTTTAAGTTTGAACCCGTTACCCCTTGTCCTGTCACTACAGTCTCTAATGAAGCGTCCCTCCCCAGCATCCCTATAGCCCCCCTTCAGATACTGGAAGGCTGCTATGAGGTCTCCATGCAGCCTTCTCTTCTCCAGGCTGAACAGCCCCAACTTTCTCAGCCTGTCTTCATACAGGAGGTGCTCCAGTCCCCTGATCATCCTCAGGGCCTCCTCTGGACTTGTTCCAACAGTTCCATGTCCTTTTTATGTTGAGGACACCAGAACTGCACACAATGCTCCAGGTGAGGTCTCACGAGAGCAGAGTAGAGGGGCAGGATCACCTCCTTCGACCTGCTGGTCACGCTCCTTTTGATGCAGCCCAGGATACGGTTGCTTTCTGAACACTGAAGCCGGCTCATGTTCATTTTCTCACCGACCAACACCCCCAAGTCCTTCTCCTTGGGCTGCTCTGAATCTCTTCTCTGCCCAACCTGTAGCTGTGCCTGGGATTGCTCCGACCCAGGTGTAGGACCTTGCACTTGGCATGGTTAAACTTCATGAGGTTGGCATCAGCCCACCTCACAGGCGTGTCAGGGTCCCTCTGGATGGCATTCCTTCCCTCCAGGGTATCAACCGAACCACACAGCTTGGTGTCATCGGCAAACTTGCTGAGGGCGCACTCAATCCCACTGTCCATGTCAACGACGAAGATGTTGAACAAGCCCGGTCCCAACACCGATCCCTGACGGACACCACTCGTTACTGGTCTCCAGCCAGACACTGAGCCATTGACCACAACTCTTTGTGTGCGGCCATCCAGCCAGTTCTTTATCCACCCAGTGGTCCATCCATCAAATTGATGCCTCTCCAATTTAGAGACAAGGATGTTGTGTGGGACAGTGTCGAATGCTTTACACAAGTCCAGGTAGATGACATCAACTGCTCTACCCCTGTCTATCTGTTCCGTAGTCCCGTCATAGAAGGCCACCAAATTGGTCAGGCAGGATTTCCCCTTAGTGAAGCCATGCTGGCTGTCACCAAGCACCTTGTTGTTTTTCATGTGCCTTAGCATGCCTTCCAGGAGAATCTGCTCGAAGATTTTGGCAGGCACAGAGGTGAGACTGACTGCTTTGTAATTCCCTGGGTCATCCATTTTCCCCTTCTTGAAAATGGGGGTTATATTTCCCTATATATATAATAATAATACTTATAATATAATATTATGAAGAATATAATATGTATATTTTTCTATTTACAGAGAGCTCCTTTGCTGAGGACCAGCATGGAAAGGCAGGAAATCTTCATTCAAATAAGGAGTTTTCATCCAGTTTTGCACTTGGGTTTTGGGTTTTTTTTCCCCCTTAGGTGCTTTTCTTACTAGACAAGACCCTTTATGACATGTTGACTGCAACTAAAACCAAGCGTTGGGCTAAATGTGGAAGATGTACATGTGATAATCAGAAGAATATATATTTAATCAGCTACAAAGCTGATTATATACATACAATATCCTTGTATATGTATAATATCCTTGTAATTAGGGTTGCAGTTTTTCCACAGTGAAGAAGGAAAATTAAATGGTACTTTCTTATTAAATGGTTGATTATTATTTTTTTAATCTATCTTGTGTCACATCTTGTGTCACATGGAATTTCCTGGGATGCAATTAAAATGCAGAAAAACTTGTTTAAATGAAGCCACTTCAACACACTGGGTTTTAAGTATAGGCAGAAGCACTTATGTGTTTTATGTGTATAGACAGAACCATGGAATAAGTTTATTCCTACATGTGTTGCTTTCAAAGCTGAATAAAACCAAGTGTTTTGGAAAGCTATGATCGCAACCAAGTCAGTGTGTTTGTACTTTGATGTACTGGGTCATAGCTTCTTCCTCCTTGTATTGGGAATTGCACTAGGAAAATCAGTTTTCCTGTTTCCTCAGTTCTTCCTGGATTTAAAACTAGTGGAAAATCACAGCAGTTGATAGCAGCACACCTTTCTCACTCAAGAAATTAAAGAAAATTTTGTTTTTTCTGATTTTTTTCTATTCCAATTTAGTAGTATTTCTTATTTAGTTGATGTGAGATTAGTAACTGATGATACATCCAGGCCTTTTGTGAGCTCAAGCTGCTTGGATTCTCCTGGTAATACTTTAAGGCTGTTTCATGCTTTGTAGAAGTCTTATGGATTGATTCATCCTGAAGTTTCTTTTTTTTTTCCCCTTATTGATTTCATTTTTCCCAGATTTCAGGGGGAATTTGTCCACAGAAGAGCCTCAGCCCCTGTTCCCCTGTATCCCTTTGCACTGGTCATCCCCACCTCACCCATTCCTGCTGATGCAGCTACTTATGCCATGTGCTGAGCAGCAGCATTTCAGTTACGAACTGATGTTTTATGGTTGATATTTATTCATACAGCTGAGAAACCTAAATAATGACATTTCCCTATGGCCTGAGCAGGCTATGAGCTCCTTCACAGGCGTGAGCTGGGCTAGCTTGAAAGCTTTCCTGGTGTAATGGCTGCGAGCTATGTGCTTGTTCCTTGACAGAGATGGTGGTGCTGGCCATCAGTACTCCAGCATTGGCTCAGCAAATCAGATGAACCTTGGGAAATTGCCAGGGTGCCTTTCCTGTAGCTTTGGTTTTCACAGTAGAAAAATGACTGGTTCAGAGCAAGGAGGAGAACAGCAACTTGCTGTGGAGGGTCCATTTGGGAGAGATGGCTGGCAGTAAGCATGGATCACTCGGTGGATAAAGAGCTGGCTGGCTGGCCGCACACAAAGAGTGGTCAATGGCTCAATGTCCAGCTGGAGACCAGTAACGAGTGGTGTCCCTCAGGGATCGGTGTTGGGACCGGTCTTGTTCAGCATCTTTGTCGCTGACATGGACAGTGGGATTGAGTGCGCCCTCAGCAAGTTTGCCGATGACACCAAGCTGTGTGGTTCGGTTGATACCCTGGAGGGAAGGAATGCCATCCAGAGGGACCTCGACACACTTGTGAGGTGGGCTGATACCAACCTTATGAAGTTTAACCATGCCAAGTGCAAGGTCCTACACCTGGGTCAGAGCAATCCCAGGCACAGCTACAGGTTGGGCAGAGAAGAGATTCAGAGCAGCCCTGAGGAAAAGGATGTTATGGGGACCCTGCTGTGGGACTAGATGGGCTGGTGTTGGAGGAGGGCCAAAGAGAATAACATTAAACCACTCCTGGGCACTCCCAATCCCAGTGTTTGCAGAGCCCATAGCCCTGTACTGAAGCTGTGTGCCAGCAGTGGGTTCATGGGTATTGGAGCAGATATAACATGGGAAGGTTATGGAGGGATGATTCACAACCACTGGAGGCTGTTGAATGTGGTCTAGGCTGCACTGAACCTGGACAAGGACCTCAAAGAAATTATCATCCAACCTCTCAGTCCTGTAATTTCAAAATCAGCTAGTTCAGGCTTATTCTTCCTTGAATGGGCTTGTTCCTCTCTCATAGTGGGAGCAGCTCTCTGGACGTCCTGCCCTTCCCTCTGCAAGACCTCAGGAATAATTGCAAAGGGAGAAGAAGACTCATTAACCTTTTACCGTCTGTCTCTTCTCTGTGTAATCCAGTTGGTGTTTGTCTTGATGGTGATAATTACTCAGGAGTATGTAATTGCAAGACAAATGTTTAATTAAGAGTGGGTTTATCACTAGTCTGTTGTCTGCTTCCATCTGGAAAGAGTGTGGTTGTGTCAGTCATCTTGGCAGTCTGGATTGGAGGTCTGACAGCCTGATTCTGCACCCTCCCAAAAAAGTAAGAAATAAATTACATTAAAATACTAATGGGACCCTTCTTTCCCTGCTGCTGCCATGTGAGCTCCTGATTGCTAAATAATACTTCGCACAATATCCGCATTTTCTGCTCCCTGGAATTGTTCAAGACCAGGCTGGACGGGGCTTGGAGCAACCTGCTCTAGTGGAAGGTGTCCCTGCCCATGGCAGGGGGTTGGAGTTGGATGAGCTTTAAGGTCCTTCCAACCCAAAGCAGTCTGGGATTCTATACCCACTGAGGATAAACCAGGTTTGCCTCAAATGAATCCATAATGCAGGATAGTGTCTTCTATGTGGTCAGAGCTCCAGGTGCCCTGTAAGGAAAACTGCTCTTGTAGATGATACAGTTATTTGCCTCCAGATAAGCTTAAATCAAAACTACTTTTACTGGCTCTTTAGCAATGCCCAGTAATGTACTCCTGCAATATCTTAAAAGTCAGAAGGCTTTTAAAACCCACAGAAAACTTACTCGGGGTGCAAAGGCTCCTCGTTTAAGCCTATTGGAATAAATAGGCTTTAAAGTATCAGCCTGTGCTACTTCCTGGGAAGAGTCAACAAAGGTGAAGGTGGCCCTGAAACCTGATTGCACAGGAAATTAGCATTAGAAATATTCCTCCTCTTGTTGCTCTCAAGTGCAGTGGGCGTTCAGGGCAGAATGTGTCCCTGCTTTACAATAACTGCAGTGAGCATAACCAGCTGGAGTGATTTATATACATTTT